GGAAGCGAGATTTTGAGCCCTCAACCTTAAGGAGCCCCAAACCCAAGGACCTGAAACACATCCCAAACTCTAAAGCCTGGGTGCATACAAAGGGCCTTGTGCCTTCAAGACAGTTCTGAAGAGTCGGAAGACGTTTGGGGTTGAAGCTTGGAGCACTGATCGTTCAGGGCTCCAGTCTTTGGGGAGCATTCAGGTTCGTGTCCTGCGCAGGAAAGCTGCCCCGATATCGAGGCCATTCGCGTTTAGGGTTTAGGGTTTGGGCAGACTTTCAAGAGTACTTCCCGTCGCAGCATGACAGTCTACACGAGACCTGCAACCTGCGCTGATGTTGTCCAAGAGAGTCTGCAGCCCACGCTTTCTCTCACCCCGTCTCTCTCTCTCTGGCGCTCTCTCTCTCTCTCTCTCTCTCTCTCTCTCTCTCTGTCTGTCCACCCTTTTTTCTCTGAGGTATCTGTTTCGAGTTGCCACATGAATACGTACCATGTGAGAACCTATCTGGCACTCTAGTTTGGCCATGACTTCCGCGTCGGACTCCGACTTTTTACAGTTTGAATCCGAAGCGAGCTCGGTTCCGGCTTGAGGGGCTCTTCCGATTTCGATTCAGCTTGTTTCCCAGAGAACCCAATATCCCTAAATTAAGGAATATACCTTAAATCATAATATTAAGGCCCCTATAATTTAAGGTATATTCCTTAACTAAGGGGTATTGGGTTCTCTGGGTTTGTCCTTCTTATGCAAGGTGCGGAGCTACCTGAGCGATATCTCCCAGATTCTGGACCCACATTTGCTGATCTTGCTCCTCGCCGACACCCTGGCTGCAGGAGCGGGAAAAGCGCGGTGGTCCCTATGGGACACGGTGTCCCCCCAAAGATCTGTGCGATCCACATAGCACTCTGCCAAGTTGCTGTTCCACCTATTTAGGCTTCTATCCGGGAGCTTCAGGATCTGGGGACCCTCCTAAACCCTGAACCCCAAGCCCTAAACCCTAAGCCCCAAAGCCCCAAACCCTGAACCCTATCCGCCTCAACCGCGCTGCTCCAGCTCGAGAAGCCGAAGCCTCCACCACCGGGAGGTGTGCTCTGGGATTCTAGACACCTCTGGTCTAAGGCTATGGCTATGGGGTTTCCGGGCCATAAACCCCAAACCCTGAACCCGAAGCCATATTAACGGCCCCGGACAAAAAAAAAACCGCCTTCATTCAGTTCTGGACCCTAAACCCTGAAACCCCGACCTTGCCGTGAATATAAGGAGAGTTTCATCTTCGGGGGCTACTTCTCCTTCACAGCCAACATCAGCTACCTCATGGAGGTGTGCGACCCGTGGTGCCGGGCTTGTATTGCCTTTTTAAACGCTAAACCCTGAACCCTAAACCCTAAATCCTAAGGTCCTAAACCCTAAACCCTGAGTTTGGGATTGAAGGTTTAAGGTTCAGTGAGTGCAGTGCTCCGGGGCGCGGGAGGATGCCAAAACCCGGAATCCTACCCACAGTTGGAATCATTCCTGGATGGACAGTCTCTTCAAACCTCGACCCTCAAGGGTTTCAGCATCTTTTAACCCTAGACCCTAAACCCTAAACCCTCAACCCTAAACCCTAATGCCTCCAAAAACCGGTGCCTGGGAGAAAATTCCCGAACCTCAGAGCTGTGAGCTCGTGGCCCTAAACCCCAGGGCCCCAAAGCCTAGGTTTTCCCCTCTTTTTAAGGGGGAGGCCTTAAGGTCTTTAGGCGTCCACCCCTTTTCAAGGAGCCCTCAGGGTTTAGGGTTTAGGGTCTATAGTCTATAGGGTTTAGGGTCGAGGGTCTATAGGGTTTAGGGTTTACGGTTGAGGGCTAAGTCTCGGAATGCTCTGAGAGGTGGACTTCGGCTTTCCGATCCTCTCCTCGTCATTCTGCCTCTTGGGCTTTGCGGTGCTTTGTGGTGTGGGCGCCTTCTGCGTGGAGAGGCCATGGCTTTAGTATTTAGGGTTCGGCCGGGCCCATGATGGGAGGTTTAGGATTTTGGGTTTGGGGTTTGGGGTTTAGGGTTTAGGGGTTTAGGGTTTAGGGTTTTTAGGATTTAGGTGTAGAGAGTGTGGCCTGCGAATTTTTTGGGGCTGGGGGCTTCAGCATTTCAATGGCTTTAGCGTGGAGGTTGTAGGGTTTCAGCCAGATACCAGAAAAGCCCGGACCAACTGGCTTTGGCTTATGGTTCAGGGTTTACCTAAACCCTAAACCCTCGGGTTTAGGGTTGTGTTGATGTCAGCTCGATTCAGGCTGGTTTTGAACATGCAGAGCTCCAAAAACGCTTCATATGAAGGCCACAAAGACCCTTGCATTACCCCTGAAAGTTCATTATCCCGTAAACTCGACGCGCATTTTCGAAATCCTAAACCCTATACCCTGAACCCTAAGCCCTAGACCCTAAACACTCTTTATCATTTGTATTTATCCCTTTTTTCATTCGTGAGAACCTGGCGATTTTAGGTTTTGTTCGCCAAATTCTCACGAAGCTTCGTGAGAATCTGGCGATTTTGGACCCTTCGTGATAATCCGGCGGTTTCTACTCGTTAAAGAAATCGCCATATTCCAGTGAAGCCGGCGAAAATTCGAAATAGCGAGCTCGACTAGAGACTGCTCGATCCGGAGCTGCTGAACCCTGAACCCTAAACCCTAAGCCCCAAACCCTAAACCATGAACCCTAAGCCCTAAACCCCAAACCTTGAACCCGAAACCCTAAGCCCTAAGCCCCAAACCCAAAACCCAAACCCTAAACCCTAAGACCCAAAACCCTAAACCCTAAACCATGAACCCTAACCCCGAAGCCCGAAACCCTAAACCCACTGAGCCGGAGGCTTCGTCTGAGCAGAGTCCTCGACACGGCAAAGGTTGCACTGACGGGGATGCCCGGTCCTGGAAAGTCCGGGGTTTAGGGTTTTAGGGTTTAGGGTTTCGGGCTTTTGAGTTTAGGGCTTTAGGGTTTTAGGGTTTAGGGTTTAGGGTTTCGGGTTTTGAGTTTAGGGTTTTAGGGTTTAGGGTTTAGGGTTTTGAGGGCTTTTGAGTTTAGGGTTTTAGGGTTTTGGGGTTTCGGATTTTGAGTTTAGGGTTTTAGGGTTTAGGGTTTAGGGTTTTGAGGGCTTTAAGGGTTCGATATGGACATGGGATTCCTGATTTTTAAGCACAGTGTTTAAAATGGCCCACAACCCTATTCCGCTCCTTTTCAAGGCTTTCAAGAGTTCGACAAGGGTTCTATCTTGAGTAATTCGAGTGGCATTCATCAGGGTTCCTAATTATAAGTATAGGTATAAAAGAACCCCAAACCCTATTGTGATCATTAAAGCACTTATGATAAGGGTGTAGAGTATGGGGTTGAGAGGCTTGGGGTTGATCCAGAAAGAATGATGGGAACCATAGTAGCAATAGTGGCAGTGGGGCAGCGAGGGCATCATGAGCAAGCGCGGCATTCTACGCCAGCAGCCCTAAACCTAAACCCTAAACCCTGAACCTAAACCCTAAATCCTAAACCCTAAGCCCTAAACCCTAAACCCTAAATCCTCTTTTTTTTGTAGCACATGCCCCCCACAGCACCTTCCAGAAGTCAGAATTGCTTGAACCTGCTTGGTCGAACCCAGGTCTGAACTTCATAGGATCCTAAAACACTACCCTTGATGATGTAAATCCTGCTTTAGCCATAATAAGGAATATATATCATAATTCCCATAGTTCAGGGTCCTTAAGGTAATGCAGGATTTTGATCATCAACAGTATCTCGAAGCAGACAGCCCTGAACCCCAAGCTGCCCAAGATCCAACCCTGCTGAACTGGCATCCTTCAGTGTATCAGGGCTGTAAACCCTAAACCCTGAACCCTAAACCCTAAAGTCCTAAACCGTAAACCCTAAACCCTAAACAAACCCTAAATCCTGAACCCTAAACCCTAAACACCAATCCCAGAATCCCAAAAAATCCTTAATCCTTAAACCCTCAGAACGGCCCATACAAAACAGGATCTTGAAGCCCCCGAAGCCTCCACCGTGAACCCCGGACGCTCGAAGGAAAAAACCCAAATGGCAGTTCTTTAAATTAGGGGTCCCACCCCAAAAGACGACGGCACCCTGTAAAAGAACCCGACCCTAAAAAGGAGCCCCTACTTTAGAGGACGAGCCCAAACTGCTCAGGATGGGCTTCGCAGGCCTTATTCACCTATGCCTTGGCCTGCTCCTTCCCGGATACCTCGGGTCCTACCTGACGGGCACGGCACTGCAGGCCTTCTTTAACATGACCCTCGGCCTGAGCTCGGGGAGTTAGGGGTTTCCGGCTCAGGGTCAAGCTTAGGCTCGTTTCCAGGCGGTTTGGGAAGGTAGAATGATATGCGCACCCTAAACCCTAAAGCCGAATCGTATCAAAGCTATTTCTGCAGTGCGGTGGTCGTCGTCGTCCTCCTCCTCGTCCTCGTCAGCAAGTAGCAGTAGCAGTAGCAGTAGCAGTCGTGGGAGCAGCAGTGGTATCAGCAGAAGTCGCAGCAGCAAGAACCAAAGCTAGCACTAGTAATGGCACTGGCAGCAGTCACCGCAACGTCAATAGCAACAACCCTAGTAGAAGAAACTAGTAGAAGAAACGACAGGCATAGGTGTCAATGTCAGGGCACTGCCGACAATGCTAACGCCATGAGCAACAATCAGACCATGGCCACAACGTAGCAGCATCCATGGAGCAGCTCTGAGCACAGCCATCCCCGAACAGGTGGCAGGAAGCAGCGGCGCAAGAAGAAGAAAATGAACAGCGCCGGAAAGTGCAGTACCCAAAGGGTCCAAGTAATCCTTATTTATGGCTTTTGGTACCGAAAACCCGTTGACAAGGGATGCCTCTTCTTCTAGGGTGTATACCCCTAAACCCTAAACCCTAAACCCCTAAACACCTAAACCCCTAAACCCTAAACCCTAAACCGCTAGGGTGTATACCTTTAAGGATCTGCGCCGTGTCCTGCAACGTGCTGCTGCTCGAGCCTTTGGCAAGCTGCGCCGGCATGGCCGCCTCCTGCGAGATCCTGGCCATGAGCATTCTGCCCTCGGCCACTGGGTTTAGGGTTTAGGGGTTTAGGGGTTTAGGGGTTTAGGGTTTAGGGTTTAGGGGTTTAGGGTTTAGGGTTTAGGGGGGAAGCTTTGGGTCTTTGTTCTTTGGACGGCTGGAGTCCTGGATGATAGTGATGATGAGCACGCAGATGGGTGTAGTAGTAGTAGCACTCGTGCAAAAGCAGTGCAGCCGCTCCTAACGGTTTGGGCTCAGTTGTTCACCTTGGTTGTCGTTTTCTTCTTCGGTATCGTTGTCGTCATGGTGCAGGCCGAAGCTGATCTCCGTCAGGAGCCGCATTCAGAAGTGAGAGAGTCAAATTCGCAAGCGATCACCTGTCTTCCAAAACAGCTACATCCCACAGATTAGGTCCCCAAAATCTCCAAAACCCCTAAAGCATGGACCCCCAAACCGCTGGCTCCACTAGCAGCCACACAAAATATCGAGCCAAGACCTGAAGGCATCACCTGAAAAACCCGAAACCCTAAACCCGAAAAACCCTAGGCCATCTCCATCTTCGCCACCCAATGCTTGATCCAACAAGGGCCGATTGGTCTCATCCTGGTACAGGCTCGGGCTTGCGCGGTTTTACAGTTTGGGGCTTCAGTGCTTTGGGTTTGGGGGTTTAGGGTTTGGGTTTGGGGCTGCAGGGCCTCGCAGTTCTCAGAACTTGTCGTTACGCTATGCGATGCTATGCTGTGCTTCGCTGTGCTGGGCTTTACTGTGCTGTACTGTACTGTACTATACTACACTATGCTATGACATGCCGCTGTCTGTGCTGTGCTGCGCCATGTTATGCTATGTTATGCTATACCACACTAGTTATACCAAACACCCCGTCGATCGACGCCGTAGCTGGGAAGCTGTATAGCTTCAGAGCTTTCCTAACAATCAAGTCCCACTCACCGGTTCTAGCAATGGTAAGCTCGTACTTAAGTAGAGCACTTTAGAGGCATCGAGCCAAACACTCAGCACTACACCCGACAACACCCCAATGGTATGTCCAAGGCGACTGGCTCTGACCGAAAGCGGTAAAATAGGGGCCTTAATAATTACCTGTAGTATTTTTGGTGTTCCTTACTATATTTATAGTATACAATACCCCAAAACCCTATTCTAATTATCAAGGCCCCTACATTATGTTCAAGTCGTCGTGAAGCACCGAGTGTTCAAAGTCCCAAAGCCTTCGACTCTCAGGACCCAAAGGCCCTAAACTCTCAAGTTTAGGGCTTAGGGGTTTGGGGTTTAGGGTTTAGGGGTTTAGGGTTTAGGGGTTTAGGGGTTAGGGATTAGGGAACCCTAAACACTGAACCTCGCGACAGAAAAGAGGGTTCAACAAGCAGAAGAACCTCAAAGCTTTAACCATCTTAAGCCCGAAAGCCGAAGCCTTAAGCCATTACTTCAAGCACAATGCTTTCAGACTCATTCTACCCAGAAGCTCTTGCACTTAGAAGCCTGATAGAACTCCTCAGCTCCTCAAACCCTGAAGCCTGAACCCTTCTATGTCCAAGGCCACTTCCTGCTTCTGCGCCGGCCTGGTCTTCTGGTTCCTTGGCTGAAAATAAGGGACCCTAATATAGTACCCTAAATCGTAGGATCCTTAGAATATTGGACCCTAGAATAAGGTTCCCCTAGTTTCCGGAAATTCCGACTTAGTTACAGTTAGGATATCGAGCTTAAAGCCCTCGAAGCGCAATAGCTGTTTGTAACCCAGCTTTGTAAAGCCTTTCTGTATGGCCTTACATCCTGTAGAAAGCCCCCCCCCCTATACACCGACCTTTGCAAGACTCTCAAACCTATGAGGCCACTTGTGAGGCTGTTAAACTCAGAAAGCCCAACACTAAACCCTAAACCCTAAACAATTTCCAAAAGGGGGGCTACTGCCCCTTAAAAAAAAAAAAACCATTTCCAGTTCCTGAACAAGAGCCCAGGTTAGGATACGCCTCTTCACCCCCGGCTTGGACGCTCGAGACCGAGGTGTGGCACCTGGGTTTAGGGTTTAGTAAGTTCTGGGGCTTCTAGAGACTAGAGATTCCAAAGTTTCGGAGCATAGGGTTTAGGGTTTCGGAGTTTAGGATTTTAGGGTTGAGAGGGGGGTGCTAGGACACGGAGCTTGGGCTTTGAGGTTGTTCCCGGACGCGCAGCAGAAGGGTTCCCCGTCTCCAGCTGCCGGGGATTCCGGGGAGAAGGGGAGGGAGTTGATGCGAAATCGCTGCGCAGGCTCAAACGTGTAGACGTGTAAAGCTTCAGGCTCCGCCCCAAAACCCAAAACTCAAAAGCCTAAAACCCAAAACCCTAAGCCCCAAACCCTAAACCTTAAACCCAAAAGCTTAAGGGGCACTTCGGGCACCCAGCATCCTTAGCCAGACAGGAAGTCTCAGACCCTGGAGTACATCCGGCACCCCTAAATCCTCAGCCCTGAGCCCAGAGTTCCGATTGTCCCTTAGCCCGAAACCCCTAAACCCTGCACCTCCACTCTTAAACAGTGGGCTTAGAATCCCATCTCATAGACACGGAAGCCTAAGCCCAACTCCCTAGAAACTCCGAGGCTCCTGAACTAAGGACTACATCTTAAAGTACAATCAACATCCTGGTATTTCTTTTGGGGTTTAGGGTTTAGGGTATAGCGTTTAGGGTTTAGGTTTTTGGAGTCTCTGGGTATGGGGACTGCAACAAGGAGCAGGCTCCGCGGAAGGCGCCGCCGAAGCTGCCGATTTCCTCCTCACTCAGCGGCCTGTCATCTCTTGAGAAGCAGAAGATTCATAGGGTTGACACAAGCGCAGAGCCCTAAACCTACAGCCCATGTCCAGAAATCCTTCAGGACCCAATCCCAAGCTCCGCGACCTTGAGCTTTTGCATTCGGGCTCTGAGTTTCGCACTCGGAGGTTCTAGACGTTAGGCCCGGAGGTCTTGATTGAGTCGATGCAGTACAGGGTTTTGCGGGCTTCACCGACTTGCCTCAAGATCCCTGAACCCTAAACCCTAAACCCCTAAACCCCTAAACCCTAAACCGCAGGTAGGCTGGATCTCAGCCAGGACTTCTCCGTGCCTCTGACTTTTGCCACTTTCGCGTTCGGATCTTGCGCCAATAGGAGAGGTCTGAGTTCGGATGCAGACTATGACTTGCAGTGTTCCAAGAAGAGTCAGGTGACATGGCTTCGACTTTTCATACACACCCTTAGTTGTAAGCTAAAGGGAATCCGAACCATATATTTCGGACAAGGGACATGTACTTCCGGAGTCAAGTGGAGGTCGGCTTGAGGTGCATTTAGCAGAGTAGATAGACTCCTGACAACGCACAGCGAAAGCCAGCTTTCACCTCGAGGTGATCCATTTCTCCCACACGAGTGATTTCGTAATGTAAGCAAAAGGCTGTCGGATTTTGAGCACATAACTCGCTATGGGAGCCGCAAGCGAAGATGTGTGCACTTAAGGGCAGCGAGTAGGACAAGAGGGTGGCATGTGCAGGTGTCCAACAGCAGCACCAGAGACAATGACCTGCGAGGGCATGTGATTGCGGCGGGCATCGCCACAACACTGCATGTGTAGGTACCCCTATCTACCCTAACATGCTACCCATCGCTCTTTGTAATTAGGTCTGGGTTCTTGGGTGGTGATCCTTGTGCCACTATCGAGTTCTCTCACATTACTTGTTGAATATTTCAATCGAAGTGCATAGAAGTGGCGGTATATAGGAGTCCACAGAGGATGTCCTTCGTCTCGTGGCCTTGGTTGTGTTGCCTTCAGAGAGTCAGAAAGCCAAACGCTGGCGGTAGGTTCTGGTCAGCCACTCCGGCAGGATTTCTTTCAGGAGACGTCGCCGGTGAGCATGTACCTCCGCAGGCAGGTGAGCATTTGAATCGGAGCTCTTCCGGCGGCTTGCCGTGTGAGGCTTGTATCAACAAGAGTTCCATGCTTGGTACCCGCTTGGTCGGAGCTCAGCAAGAAGAACATCCCCCAGGATGCAGCCTAAAGTAGACGTGTCGATCCTGCTATGATCAGGGACAGGAGCAAGGCTAAATCGCATGTTCTTTGAACCCTAAACCCTAAACCCTAAACCTTAAGACCCTAGACCCTAAACCCTAAACCCTAAGTTCTTTTGCTTCAGCTTGGTTTCAGAATTCGGTCTGCCCAGTTTCTGACTCAAGAGCTGGGATTTTAGCCCCCAAAAAGGCGATTGCAAGGACGCTGAAAAGCCAAGCGCAGATACGGGAAAAATGGAGCTTAAGGGGTTAGGGGTTTAGGGTTTAGGGTTTAGGGGTTAGGGGTTAGGGTTCCTTTAAAAAAGGGTCTATGAGGGGGTTTAGGGCTCCTTTAAAAAAGGGTCTATAAGGGGTTAGGGTTCCTTTAAAAAGGGTCTATAATGGGGTTTAGGGCTTTAGGTTGAGTGGTAACGCCCCCAGACCCTTTAAACCGAAATTCCAGCGCCGTAAACCCTTAAACTTAACCCCAAACCCCGAACAAAAACTGAGCCCTAAACCCCAACCCTAAACCCTAAACCCTAAACCCTAAACCCTAAACCCTAAACCCAAAACCCTAAACCCCAAGCCCGAAAGGGCTGAGGCTTTGATCCCTTATTGAGAGCCTGGAAGCTGCTCGGTTGGGCCTTTCCAATTTCAGCTCTCGACCCCGAGTGGAAGGTAACCATTAACCAGGTTTCAGGGTTTAGGGTTTAGGGTTTAGGGTTTTTGGGTTCAGCATATCATTAGGGGTTAGGGGTTTTGCGAGATGCAGGCCCAACGGGAGCCCTTTCTGTGAGGGTTATAGGGTCCCCCGCTGCACCCCAAGTTAAGCCTTTGATGGGCAGCTTTCCTCGACTCTAGCTTTCTTGCTTGCACTAGTCTCTTGTTCTTGTCTCTGACACTCGCAAGTAGAGTGCGACAAAGTCGTGAAAGTAACACCTGCTGCGGGGAGCATCACGGCTTAGGAGTCAACTTCGGGCATTCACGTCAGTGTGGCATATGCTAGCTCGACTAAAGCGGATAAACGGAGGGTGCACCTGAGGTACGAAATCCTGAGATATGGCTCCAAACCGTAATCCCCCAACCCCAAACCCTGTTCTCTAGAACGTCTTAAATACCCCAAGCGGAAACAGCAACATGCACCTGCCACAAACCTTACGCTAGTTGCCCAAAGTGGCGCGACATCTCCAAAATGGCCGAGCACGTGGCGCTGAGCATAATGGCAGACCACGTCATGGAGCCCATGGAGGAGTGTTCAGAGTTCCACCCTAAACCCTAATGCACCCGGAATCCTAAACCCTAAACCCTAGACCCCCGAGCCTTGCGTTGCTACACCTTTCGCCTTAAGGCTGCCATGGCGGTTCCGGACGTCGAAGTCATGCAGGGTTTTCAGATCCCCATTCCTTGGATGCCTTTGCAGACTTTTCCTAAAGCCTAATCCCCAAGCTTTGTCCTACGGTCCCTGTTCGACCCACACCCACCAAACGTCTTTGAGTCACTCGGGTCCTGGGGAGAAGGAGAAGGAGGAGGAGTGTAGGAGTGGGAGTACGGAGTAAAGTAGTTCAAGAGCCACAGATCTGGTGAATGAAGAGACAAGCATCGACAATACCACCAATAACAAGTACTCTCATGATAATCAAAAAGTGATAGAGATTTCACTGCAGAAGGTGTTATGATTACTTGCTGCAGAGGCTGCTGTACCAATTCGCAGTTTTTTCCCTTTGAAGCCTTCGAGACGAGACCCCAAGCCTCTGCCGAAGCAGGACGTCATGGGCACCATCTTGCCGGGCATGCCGGCGGAGGAAGCCAGCCCACCCCGACAGGTGGGGGCCATGCAGGATTCAGAATCCCCAAGCCCAATGAAAGCTTTAGGTTCTAAGGGTGTCGGGTTAAGGGCTGAACTGTGTAGAAGCCTCCGGGGTTCATGGCCCTAAAGTCTGCAGTCAGAAAGACTTCTGACTCAACGGAATCTGTTAATGACATGCAGAAGTTACATAATGATATTATGATGTCCCGTGGTATATATAATCAGACAGCGATCGGCGATAGTGCTTGTGCCATCAGATAGCATAAAGTGTCCGCAACTAACAAAACTTGCTCCAAGCTTCCAGAGCCCAAGGCTAAACCTGAAACCCTGTAACTCTCGAACACCCCCCAAGTCCGACCTTACACCCTGAAAAGAGCAGACCTCATTGCAAGGCCCTAAGCCGATAGGCCTTGTAGAACCTTTCTGGAACCCGCAAAAATCCCAAAACCCAAACCTTACACGCCCTACCTGTCTTAAAACGGCCCTAAAAGCCTTCAAAGCCCTACCTTTCAAAATGAAGCACCCTGAACCCTAAACTCTAAACCCGAAGCCCTAAACTCTAAACCCTAAACTAAACCCCAAACCCTAAAGTCCAAACCCTAAACCCTAAACCCTAAACTCTATAAGCCCTAAACCTTAAGAACGCCCTACCACTTGTACGTCATCAGGTCTGGAGCCTCGAGAACCGCAAGGCCGAGAAGAAGACCATCCTCAAGGCCTTAATTCCTAATTGGGTGGTTCTTTAAATTAGGGTTCCCTTAAAGGGATCTATAATTATTGGAACCTTAATTCCTAATTGGGTAGTTATTTAAATTAGGGTCCCTTCAAGGGATCTATAAGGGTTTAGGGTTTAGGGAATTAGGGTTCCTTAAAAGGATCTAGAAGGGTTTAGGGTTTAGGGGTTTCTATAAGCCCTAATTCAGAGAACTACCCATCCTCAAGGCCTCCGCGCAGTTCCTCGAGGCCGGCGATGGGGCAAGTTCAGGGAAGCGGCGTGATGGCGCAGTGTCATATATGCTTTAGATACAGTGGGGGCAGTCGACTTTTGGATCTTCTGAAAGGGGTTTATAGGGGGTTTAGGGTTTTAAGGGGCTTGGGGCTTAGGGGCTTAGGGGTTGTAGGGGCTTTGGGTTTAGGGGTTTAGGGTTTAGGGGCTCAGGGTTTAGGGGCTTAGGGGTTTAGGGTTTAGGGGCTTAGGGGTTTAGGGGTTTAGGGTTTTTGAAAGCATTTCGGGAAGTTTCCTCTAAGGGTTCCTTGGTGGGTTCTCTTTAAAAGGGTGCCATTTAGAGAACTACCCATGTCGGGTTAGGGTTTTCAGGGTTTGAGGTTTAGGGTTCGAGGTTCAGGATCTGGGACTTTGCTTTTCAGGCCTTTCAGGGCTTTGGGCTTTAAGGGCTTTTCGTGCCTTTAAATTACTATTTGTGTAAGCGGCGCGAGGGTTTAGCTTTCCGGGTTCATGGATGTTCACGGTTGGGGCCAAGCCCGAAAAGCCTGAATAGTGATTCCGAAATCCTTAAGACCCAAAGTAGGCCAACCTAGTGGTGGATGTTGCTGTTGACTGCAACAAAGAGATTGCAACAAGACTACACTCCCTAAATCCCCAAAGCAAAGCCTTAAGACCCTAAATCCCCCATCCGAAACATCATGGATTTTGTATAGACCTCACATAGATTCCTCAAAGACCGCCTATAGCCCCTTAAAGCAAAGACCCCCTTTCGAATCCCTTGTAAAAACCTGCAGTGGCTCGAGAGACCATTCCTTGAGGCGGCGATGGACGCCAAGTTGGATGTTGTGGCTGGGGCAAAGGACCACAAGGTTTGGTCGAGGGTTCTGTGATGGTTTAGGGCTTAGGGTCTAGGGGTTTGGGGTTTAGAATTTAGGGATTTAGGGTTTAGGGTTTAGGGTTCAAGGGTTTAGAATTTAGGGTTCAGTTCGGTTTTGGATGTGGGGTTGGGGTTTAGGGTTCAGCGTTGAGCCCAGGAGCATTTCAGACCCTAAAGCCGCCTTTTTCCGGTGGCTCTTGCCTCCTTCGGCGTCTCGCACCCTAAGTTAGCGGGCGGAAAGGTTTGAGAGACTACACGACGGTAATTACAAAACACCAAAGACCGAAACCTGTTGAAGCCAAGAAGACCCCTGCGCCTTCAAATTCGAAACCTTGAAGCCATCAACGCCTCGTGCCGGAAGGGCTTCAACGTGGACGAAGAGGCGTTCGAAGGAAATCAGATGCAGACGGCGGCACGGTTTAGGCCGGAGGCCACCTGCCTGACAAACCCGAAACCAGGGTTTAGGGTTGAGGGTGGGGCCTGCATAATTCGAACATGGTCTTGGGGAAATGTGAGGAGTAGTCTAAACTCCAAACCCGAAGCCACCACTCCCATAGCCTAAACCCGAGACCCTGACACCCTAACCCCACGAACGTTGAAGGGTGTTTGAGGGTTAAAGGTTTAGGGTTTATAAGGGTTTAGGCTTTATTAGGGTTCAAGGTTTATTAGGGTTTATTAGCGTCTATGACGGGGATCCCAGGCTAGAGTTAGTCCGGGTTCAGTTTGGAGGGTTTCAGGTCGTAGGACCATCGTCTGGCTGAACCCCTAAGCCCAAGACCCTAAGCCCTAAACCCTGAACCCTAAACCCTAAGCCCTAAACTCACTGAGGTGCATCAGCGTCTCGCCAAGTCTTTGCAGGAACTGGAGAGTCGGCAGCAGGTCTCAGAGCAGTCCTTGACCAAGAATGTGCCAGAAAAGAGCATTGAAGCTGATGCGAAGCAGGAGTCAGGGAGGGTTTAGGCGTTAAGGTATAGGGGTTAGGGGTTTAGAGTTTATTGGGGTTTAGGGTTGAGGGTTTAGGAGTTTAGAGTTTATTGGGGTTTAGGGAGTTAGGGTTTAACAGGGTTTTTGGGGTTTAGGGTAGAGAAAGCAAGGTGAAGCAGGAGATGAGGGGCGGGGGTGTATTGTTTACAGTGGTTCCGGAGTCCCGACCTTGGAGCCAACAACTCCTCAGCCATACACCCCAAGCCCTACATGACCCCCAAGTCCTGAACCCCAAGAAACCCTAAGCTGTAAATGTGTAATTCTCTAACTTAGGGTCCCTTTT